GATTGGGACCATATTCGGCCTATGTTGAGCTTATTTTAAGCTAAGAACGGCGTGTTCCTTTTAAGCTTCAACTGGCCCAAAAAGGAACACGTCGTTTTTGGACCATGTCGGGACCATGCTGGGTGTATATGGAGCCTATGTTGGGCCTATGTTGATCCATGTTAGGCTCTTGGGGGCCATGTTGGGGCCATTTCGAGCCATGTTGAGTTAAGCCAAGAACCAATTTTGAAGGTGTTACGCGCTGGAAATTTGCGGCGGTAGGGTATCGATTCCCCCTCGGTCTGGGTTTTCGTGAGTGAGCTCAGTAGCCAGTCAGAGAAATCGATAGAGCGAAATATGTTGATAAGAGACTAGAGATACGTAGCTGACCAACCGAATTTTATGAAGGCGACCAATGGAGAACTCCAATTTTGAAGGTGTTACGCGCAGTCGTGATGCTTGCGGGTTTGCTGCAAGTCGAGAACTCCAATTTTGAAGGTGTGCTGTGCAGGAAGTTTAATGCTCTTATTCGTGCTGCTTACGGGTTTGCTTTAACTGAAGAACTGAAGAACTCCAATTTTGAAGCAGGCAGGAAGTTTGCTGCAGTAGGGTATCGATTCCCCCTCACTCCCGTTTCTAGCCAATTAAACAAATAGATGGAAAAAACATATTGCTCGGGAGACTGAAGATACAAAAACCGCCAACAGAATTTCAGGATGTCTGCCTCAAAATTTTCTGTGCAGTTAGGGTCGCGCTACAACGGAGGATTTCAATGTTGAAGGTCTTGCATGCAGGCAATTTGCTGTGCGCACGGGTTTTCATTATGAGAGCTGGCTTTCGTTCCCCCGTTCTCAGGTTAGCTGGTATCAAAATGTGTTTGTGCAGAACCATTCCGTACTAGACCGGCATGAAAACATGTTGTGTAAAAGGATTCGCTTTGTTTTGCCTAATGAACTGGAATACATGGGTTTGAGAAGTACAGCAAACATCTGCGTTGAACGCGATGGGTAGGGACAACACGGCACTTTTGGCGAATAGCAACCTTTGGTTTTTTTGAAACTGTTTTTATCTGGGGTGTACGCCGGTGCAATTTTCTTTGCTTGGATGCTGGAAATCACTGAAAGTTCAGCCTTGCTAGTGTGCGATGGAGACAGGCCGACTTCCAAGTGCCGTAGCCCCTCCACCCTGTCGGGTGGTAGGTTCATACACCTCACCTATCCACAGTCCAGCCGCTCACTCTGTCTCTCTTTGCCTGCCTCCTTTTTTTGCCTTCTTACGCTGTGATTTTTTTAGGTTTTATTCCATCTGGTGCTTATGGCTTCAACTAGCAGTTAAGAAATCAAGTATGTTGCAGATCGCAACATTATGTATGAAATACATACGAAACCAGTCCCACTCCCACCCAGAACTACATCAAATCATGTTTGACTGCTTCTGTAGGGCCGTGTGCCACACTGCACAACGGCATGTACCAGGACATGTGCGCTGTAGCGCCAGTCTTATCATGTGTTATCTACAACAATGCCACAAATGACATGTTAAATTTGTTAAATAGATTTCATAAACTTGACTCGACATGACTTGACTTGTCTGGCATCTTTGGAGGCGGTGCTGGACTTGGAGGCGACACCATTGCAATTTCTCAAAGACCTTTACCCAGAGGCTTGGAATTTAGGATCGATTGTAGTTCTGCAGCAGGCTATGTAAAATTTTTGTGAAATTTGACTTACTGTGGGGAACTAAATGACATGTTTTCAAGAAATATCACATGATGACATGGGTAATCCGAAGCGTTTGACTTTGGTCAAGAAACTATATAGACATGCTATGGACATGCTATCCCAGATGAAATCACCTGAGAGGAGGACTCTGTATACCACCGTTCCGATCCCTTCCGACTGTTTCTGTTCCCTGGTGCTACCTGGATGTAGCAGCTGTAGCATGTCACACATGTCCATGCTTTGGAAGGGGCACCTGCAGTTTACCAGGAATTCACCAGGATCTCCACTGGAATTGCAACAGAGGAATGAATCATTCTAAATGATTTAGATGCTTCCCTGCATCCACTGCACTCTGCCAGCCTCGCAGCAAGTTGTCTAGCTTGTTGCTGCCAGGGTGTTGTCACAACTTCTGGCAAGAGAAAGATGGAGGACTCAGAGTGGCGAGGCTGCCCTGTGATCGATCAGAGAGCCGGTGATCCGGATCAACTACAAGCAGATGAAATGTCATGAAAGATGATGAAACATCTAGGTTTCCTAGGGTCATTAGGGTTCCTGTACAGTTCCCATATGTTCCCATCCAAGGTTGTTACATGTTGTTGCCGACCGTCTGATTTTTGTCACTTTGTCACCCGAAGAAATCCTTTTATGTTTCTAAGAAGGGCTTGTGCTTTGATGTGGGTTGCAAGCATGAGGTGAGGTAGGTTAAAAGTGTGAAAACCAGCTGCGCAGTTTTGACAGAATGCTTTCAGGGTTTAGTGATGTGTCCTGCAGTGACTTGCAAAAAATGCTCAATACTGGTCAAAGCTTGTTGCAAATGCTTGTGATCTTTTTGCTTCTAAGCATTCTAAGAATTTCTAAGCGCTTTTGCTGACTGGTTCTGATATAGAGGCACCTGATGCAGTTTTGACGGGTCTCTACGTGCTCTGCACCTTGACAACCCATGCTTTTAAGTGTAATGTTTTTCATCTGGATCATTTGGAATGTACTGCATCTTTCAATCGCTCGTAGGCAAGTTGGGCTCGTTTGGCGTCACAGGGGACTTCCAGTCCGCAACTGAAAGGATTTGATGCCGCTGCCGAAGGTGATCCGCATAGAACACTAGTTATACTCTGTTGGACATATATCATATATCATATATAAATCATATATATATATATATAGCTATATATATATAGATAGAAGCAAAAACAGAAACTATATATATATATACTTTCGTATACTTTAGTCTATATGGCCAATGCGGCTACATCCAAATTTTGATTGCATTTGTTATGCATGCCAGATCACCTTTGGTCCATGACAATCTTGAATGATTGGCTCAACGGGCCTATACAGTACTTCTTTTTGCTAAGGACGCGAAAAATGAAAACAATGTCGGCACTTGGCTTAGATAAGTGTCATAAGACGTCACAAGCAATTATTATGCACATTGCTGCAGCACGCGATGTTTGCTACATTCTTGAATCACTGACAGTGTCATGGCTTCCTTCTCAGAAGGTTGGGATACTCTAGGATCTCGATGGATCTCGCAACAGCCAAGGATGGAATGAGAACTAGAGCAGGGATCCAAGAGGACTTGCATGTGATCATCATGTGATCACTCTGATGCAAATACATTCCTGCGATCACTGTGATGTATTCTTTCCTTCGAGTTTTTTGGGGTCAAAGGTCGTGATGCTGCTCATTGCCCTTGTTAATCCGCATGTGCTTCTTTTGGATGAGCCTACCAACCATTTGGATATGCAACTTGGACAAGATGGCTCAGTGTGGCTCAGTGGCTCCCAAACGGAGGAGTCTTTTGGAGTTTTCTGTTTGGCCACTTTTTTTACAGCCAAAGCTGTTGCTGCAGGTGTTACTATGTCAAGCCAAGTTGCTGATTGAACTTATAGGCAACATGCACACCACCATGCAACATTGGCGACGAAGCAACAAGCCAGGCAGCCAGACATGGGAAAAAATACCCAAGCGCAACGCAATTTTCATGCAGCTTGAAGGAGCTCGGAAGAGGTTTGTAGAGAGCAGAAAGCAAGACTGGCCTCAGACTGTTTAGAGACCAGACCATGAACAAAGATCAACAAAGGAACACGATGGTTCCACACCAGGGAGCAGATGATGTACGCAAGCCCAATGCAGGGCTTAAGATGGCAAGCTAGCCAAGTAATGCGACGGTAATGCTCTGTTCCGATCTTGTTTATATAGTGAAAAACGAGCTCGAGTTTCCAAGAGACTTGGCCAAAAACGAAATGCCTGCACTGCAGGGCCTGCACCATTCTCTCAGGTACTTGTAAAGGACTAACACAACCTTCAAAGCTGTGATCTCCACTGAGAAACCCAAGAAACCAAAGCATCAGGCCTGCAGCGGAAACCTCATGTAGATCTTGAGCTGCCACGGCTGTGCATTGAATCCACACCGTGAACATATATAAGAAGATGACAAAAATATAAGCCTGGGCTATGGCTCAAGGTCGAAAGCATTTCTGCCTTGTGTTTTTGTATTTTTTTGTGCTGTTTTGCATTGAATGTGTCTAGTTCATGGATGCCAGAAGCAATCATTCTGAGGCAATGCATTGACGCTCTTGCGGGCGCCATCAACAAGTTTTCCGGTGGAGTGGTATTGGCCACTAAGCTGACGCTTATACGCTTGTATCAGGAATGCGTTACAAAGGAACTTTATGAACACATAATTAGTATTCTTTTTTAGGTGGCTGAAAGTTGTCTCTTGCAGAAAGGAACAAGTGGTGGGTCCCAGTATACTTTACTAGGTGTAGCAGCTCTTGTTTCTCTCAGCCTCTGACTTGTTATGATGTGTAGATTGGGTTCTAACATTTTTGTTATTTATGCTTAAATTGTGCTTAAATATGCTTAAATAATCTTCAAGTCTTCAAGATAGTTTTCCTGGCCTTGTCCACTTGGATCCAGTTCTGGGATCCTGTGCCCACTTGTTTCTCGGATCGTTTTCGATGGGGCCTCCGTCTCTCAACCTCGACTTATCACATCTTATCACTATGACAACAACCAAATGCATAGGAGTCGATGCATACATTTTTGGATGTAGATGTTCACATACCAGATCAGAGTCTTTGCTTGGTGCACGCTCAGTAGCTTGAAGTGTCTCTGTGGTAGCCTAACTGATGCCATTGGGGAACTGTGGTGCGCCAGAAGGGTCTGAGACAGCCGACAGCTTTTTTTCTGTTCAGGCACAGACCCACACTATGTCACTATGTCCCACCCTGCGAAATGTTGAGCACAATCACATTTGATTTCTGGACAGAGTCCAAGTATGGCAATCAACGGAACCCGTACGCCGTACTTACTTGATGTTTGTTGATGTTTATTGATTGTGTTAGTTTCCAATGTTTGCGCAGCAGCTGGCTGAAACTCGATTGAGCTGTCTCCACACACTGAAAGAATCTGAAAGATATCATGTGAAGGTCGCCTTCTCTAAACCCAATCCGATCTTTGGCAAACCCCAAATCCAGCAAACCATGTGCTAAACCATTTGCTAAACCATTTGCCTATTTGCTTGTTGCATTGCAAACTTGCTTCTCTGCTTCCCTTCTCCGTTTTTGGGTTGCTTTACAGATGTATACAGATGTGTTTTGTGCATTCTCATCACTGAAGTTCTTGCCTGCAGGCTCTGAATGTGTGTAGGACTTGTTTGAAACTGTTTGGCTGAATCAGCGCCGGCTTCGATGAAGGTCAGCCACGACTTCCGCTTGATTGGCCAGGTTGCCAAGGAGATTTGGGTGTGTGACAGAAGCTTAGTCTCTCAGTCTCTCAGTCTCTCAGTCCCGCGCAGTCTTGAGAAACTTGTAAGCACACAGAGCCCAGAAACCAAGGACAAAAAGACGGTCACCAAATGGGAAGGTGATATCCAATCTTACAAGAAGCATCTGAAGAAAGAGGCATGGTAAAGTTCAACATGTTGCAACATGTTGGGTTGACGGGGGGGGTTAGCCCCGCTTCCAATTGTTTTGGTTCGTCTGTCTGTCAAAGGCAAAGTGCATATCATCAAAAATTAGTGTTTCGCTGTGGCGAAATGGCAGTTTTCAAACATGCTTATGATGTGTCATTGACTTGAGTTCTGCTTAGCAGTGTCAACATAACTTTCATTTTTTCAAAAAAATGGATGTTGGGAGCAACCCTTACAGGGGTCTTTTTTTCATTGATGTGTCAAAGGCAAAGTCACATGATCAAAAAGGAGTGTTTCGCCGTGGCGAAATGACAATTTTCAAACATGGTTATGTTGTGTCATTGACTTTTACAGGGGTTTGTTGCGGCGACACATTTGCATGTTGAGCCCTTTTTTTCACTTGTCTTCCATCCACGAGACATCTTCAAAACATTTCACATGACTGACTTTGTCAGTCATGTGGGCAATGAATTGAGCGAACGCCATCATAGTCGCTTCCAGGCCTAAGTTCTTGTGAATGTAAAGTGCTGACAAACCATCCACGTGTGCAGTTTTCAATGAGAGGCCTCCAAGCTTATTGTTTCGTCTCAGCTGCTGTTTCAGCAGAGCTGTGTGAGATTCTGCGACCTGGTCTCCTCCGACCATGGTTACTTTATGCCGGCCAGTTTGAGCTGCTTTGCAGCCAATGGCTTTCAAGGCTGTTGTGGAAATCTTTCTCTTTTTGAGGGACTGTACAGGTGTGTATTCTGACAAGCTATGTCTAGCAGTGACTGCTTCCAAGTTCAATTTTTTTCTAGCTCCCTTCAATCCTTTGGAGGCATCGGAGCCCAGGATGTGTTTGCTGGGGTTCACTTTGTGTTGCAAGAGCGGCACAACTTCGTCTAAAGTCTCTGGCGGGCCAGGAGCAGATGTAGCCGTGAAGCGGTCAGGCAAAGGATAGAAAGCGCTTTGTTTGTTTTTTCTGCTGACAGCCACTAGAAACCGACCACCATGCACTGCCACTTTGGAAGTTGGTTTCTTGGCAACCGTGTTCCCGGCTGGCTTCTTTGTCATTTTTCGTTTCTTTGACCCCACCTTGTTTTTTCTGGTTGCCGTACGACACGAATCTACCTCCAGGATTCCGGCGTCAAAGGTCATGGATTTGTTTTTCTGAAACTCAGCCCAACCTGTCACCATGCGAGCTTGCTTGTAAATGGAATCGACATAGTCATGGGATCGCCCAACAATGTGCGCAGCTGCATCTTGAGGAATCTTAGCACTGACACAATAAACCGTACGTACGAAGCCTTGCATGTCTGGTTCATGTCCACCTCTCAGTCGGTTGATGAAGGGTGTGTAGCCAAATTTCCAATTGATACCTACAGGCAAGAACGGCCACAACTGAAAAACGCACAAGTCGAAGACTAGGTGAACATGCGTATATCATTTGCGATGGATCCAAAAAAATGAAACCATACCAAGATGCGAGGTCGCAGTGCTGGACAAGAACGGTTCGAACAACGCAGTAAGGCAGGATCTTGTTGAAGCTGGTTCAAGGATGCTTGACATCTCCAGCACTGACGTCCCCACTGCACCCCGAAGAAACCTTTGGCTTCCAGGTATTTTTTGCACCGCATTTCAGACCACAAGGCTAAGGATGCAAAGTCAATCTGCTTGAGACCTCGCAAAGCACGGTACTTTTTGAATTTCCCACGGATTCCGGGAGAATAGCTGAGACCCTTCTTGTGAAATTCTCTGTTGACACCAGAACTCGTAGCGATGGTGCGACTCGGAGGTCGTTTGCGCCCAGAGGTATATCTATCATGTCCGAGGGATTTTTTCATTGGACGTTCCCTGTGTGAAACTCGGACCTAAAAAGGCTTTGCAAAAAAGACGTGACATGAGTGGAAAATGGCCACTGGCTTGCTCAAAAAAACCTCACACCTAGTGAAACACATGGCACCCACAACTTCACCAACCAAATTCTGGCGACTGGGAGAAACGTGCAAGGTGTGTCTGCAGTCAAGGTATCAGAGTCATGGCCAAGTGGTTTGAATTGATTCCCATGATATTCGCGATTGACAGGCCATTTCATTCTGCGGAAACTTCATGCTTCATTCTTCATCAGGTGCAAAGATCTCTCAGCAAACAAACCGCAGCAGCAGCTCTTTTTCCGATTGGCACAAAGTTCTTCACACATCGCGCTCAGTGTTTCGGCGCAAACTGGCAGGGAGTTCTGCATACTTGTTTCTCATGAACTTGGGCAGCTCCGACCATTTGTCTTTCGGAACAGGAGCGGAAAAAAAACACATTCTTTTACCATCTTGCACTTTCTTGAACCTATTGCAAAGCAAGCGAATCTGTCCTGCAAATTGACCAGAAGCATAAAGGTGCGGCGACAAAGCATATCCACAGTCTGCCCGCATGCATCTACCCCATTTTGTGTCAGGCAGGGAGGTCGCTCCATCTTCATCTGCGACCGGTTTGACACGGTCCTCAAAGAGCGCAGCCCGCTGCAGCATCGACATAGGGCCGCCAGACGAAGACGCAGCCGAAGATGAGTGAGTGAGCTCGGCAGCAGAAGCTGAGGGCAACCTGAGATTCATCATTCTCAAATGCAAATGAATGCATCAGGGAAAGAATTGACAGTACAAATCCTTGGAAAACAATTCGAAAAACAAACCAAGAAGCGGGGCATTCACAGAGTGCTTCAAAAGATAATCGAGTTTTTGTCGCAAAGCTATAGGACTATCGATAATCTTTCCACCTTGGAAGCGCGGTGGCGACAAACTTTCCGATTTAGCTGACGATGCATCTCCTTCAGCATCTTGACTTTCGGATTCCGATTCCAAAGTCAACGTAGGAGCCAACATTCTTCGAATCTCCGGGCTCTCACAGACCTAGGATACAACAGTTTGAACGTCACGAACATGACAGTACAAAGTCTATTTCGTCTATTTCGGCATCCGACAAGAAATGATAACGAGGTCATCTAAGGAAGAAAAGTAAGATGTCAAGAAAAAAACTAAAACCGAACTCAGAAACAGGAATCACGGAGGGTGGATGTTCAAGAGTTCTGCGTCCTGCAGTCGAAAGCGGCTCAATGGGCTGCCCAGATTCCAGCAAATTTTGCAACATCATTTCACATTGAAAGTCCCAAGGTTCAGCCAACTCTGAGTCAGGAAAGCTCTGCGGCATTGTTCCACGTAGCCGCTTCTGCAACCATTCACCTTGTTGAAGAACTTTCACTGGCAGAGGCCTATGTTCTTTCACATAACGAAACCAAATTTCCTTGAGAACCGACAAACCCTGGCGAAGGCTCGTCCAATGATACACTCGTTCCACTGCAGCAAAGGTGGTCTCAGCTCCAGCATCCCCATGCCATTTCAACGCTAAGATGTAGTGAACATCCCACAGTTCTTCCGTGCTCAAAAAGGCCAAAGAACACAGACAGGTGGAAACTTTTCATGAGCTGCGCGGAGGAGAATTAACAATGTAACACCATACAGAAGCGGATCCATGGAAACAGAGCCCAGCAGCGAGCTACACAAGCAAAGCTGTGCTAGACAAGCATGACATTCCCATGATATTCGCGTTAAACCCTTTCTTGCGTTTGAACCATGTAACTACGAACTACTTTTGGAAACTTATATGTCTAAGCAAACTTGACGAACTCTCACGCAACCAAGAACTCCAACCAGCCCTGACACACCAATGCAGCCCAGCCCCAACATCTGAGATGCGTACCTGCAGCGCAGGTAGCAGGCAGACATGACCGGTGAAATTTACATAAACAAATCATCCTGACAAGTATATATTATTCAGTAAATATATAATTATATAATACAGTAAATATATCATACAGTTAACACAGACCCAACCCCCCAACCCCAAATACGTTCTTCGCGTACCATCAACATCGAAAGCAAGTGCACACACACTGCCCCCAAGACCTTCTGAGCGTAGCAACCCCCCCCCAACCCCAGATGATCAGCGTAACATCATCAGCGTAACATGAACGTTAACATCCCACCCCACCCCACCCCAACCCCAGATGATCAGCGTAACATCATCAGCGTAACATGAACGTTAACATCCCACCCCCCCCCACCCCAACCCCAGATGATCAGCGTAACATCATCAGCGTAACATGAACGTTAACATCCCACCCCACCCCACCCCAACCCCAGATGATCAGCGTAACATCATCAGCGTAACATGAACGTTAACATCCCACCCCACCCCTCCCCAACCCCAGATGATCAGCGTAACATCATCAGCGTAACATGAACGTTAACATCCCACCCCACCCCTCCCCAACCCCAGATGATCAGCGTAACATCATCAGCGTAACATGAACGTTAACATCCCACCCCACCCCACCCCAACCCCAGATGATCAGCGTAACATCATCAGCGTAACATGAACGTTAACATCCCACCCCACCCCACCCCAACCCCAGATGATCAGCGTAACATCATCAGCGTAACATGAACGTTGACATCCCACCCCACCCCCTCCCCAAAACAGATGATCACGCGTAAATCATCAGCGTACATGAACGTTAAAATCCCAACCACCCCACCCCAACCCCAGATGATCAGAGTAACAATCATCCCACACCACCACCATCCATCCACCCCCCCACCATCCCCCCATCAGCGTAACATGAACGTTAACATCCCACCCCCACCCCTCCCAACCCAGATGATCAGGTACATCATCAGCGTAACATGAAACGTTAACATCCCACCCCCCCCCACCCCAACCCCAGATGATCAGCGTAACATCATCAGCGTAACATGAACGTTAACATCCCACCCCACCCCACCCCAACCCCAGATGATCAGCGTAACATCATCAGCGTAACATGAACGTTAACATCCCACCCCACCCCTCCCCAACCCCAGATGATCAGCGTAACATCATCAGCGTAACATGAACGTTAACATCCCACCCCACCCCTCCCCAACCCCAGATGATCAGCGTAACATCATCAGCGTAACATGAACGTTAACATCCCACCCCACCCCACCCCAACCCCAGATGATCAGCGTAACATCATCAGCGTAACATGAACGTTAACATCCCACCCCACCCCACCCCAACCCCAGATGATCAGCGTAACATCATCAGCGTAACATGAACGTTGACATCCCACCCCACCCCCCCCAACCCCAAAAGCAACCCAGTAAAAACGGGGCTAACCCCCCCCGTCCAGCCAACATGTTGGAGATGTTCAGCAAAGGTTGGAGTGCACTGCGCCAGGTCATGAAGAAGTTCAAAGCATAAAGGCTGGTGGCTTTTAAGAGTGGCATGACGAACGTATGTTACTTTTCTGATTTTCTGCGAAAATTCGCGCATCAATTCTTCATGCATTTCTTTTCGTTGCTTGAAGCTCTTTCCAATCTATAGAAGCCTCGGCACCTTCGGTGCGAGCGGATTTTTCGAAGACATGATAAGATTCCCTTTTCTTTTCCTTCTCATCTTACCTATGGTCTGATCAAACATCAGGTTTTTTCTTCAAGAAATCTTGCCACGAGGTGAAACCCTCAGAAACCTTGAAGGTCTCGCACAGCTATCATACTATCAGACTTGGGGTTTCATAGTTTGCTAGAGCTGTTGATGAATTGGGACAATTGGGCTGAGGTATGCTGAGTAAGGTGCTTGGAGATTACGAAACTGTTTTCCAGCCTGTTGGGCTCGAAAGTCAGTCCAACTGCGGCTTCTGTACAGACAAGATGCCCACAGAAATCTTGAGGTGTCCTTATCAGACTAAACATTTTATTTGGACGATTCGATTCAGGTTATATTCAGGTTATATATTTGGATTTTGTGATAACAGTTGGTCAAAAGTGGCAACCAAATGAAGCGATCAGTGCTGTCACTGTGCATGTGTGTGTGTGTGTTTCACTTGCGGATGAAATCCACAAACATGGTTGAAAGAACTTTATTTTATTTCACAACCACATCACACACTGCTACTGTTATGACCCGATTGGACAAAGGCACAGGGAGAGTGCTCTCCTGGCTAAGGCCTTTGCCACGAACTAGTTCTGCGTGTGCATATTCGAGATCCCATTGACTCTCAGTGAAACTGCAAGTTACTTTGACACAATTTGACAACTATGCTGCTATGCTTCTCTGTTCTTGTGCTGTTTGTTGCAATCTCAATTTCATAGTGATACATGACGTAAAGTGGAGTTGTGGATGTAGCCATTGTGGCAGCCAAGTGCCAGCTCAGTCTACATATATATCCTCAATTAGCCAGCTTTTGCTGCATGGGTGCTGGAACCACCCAATCCAAAGTGAGTGCGGATAATGGATCACTGCGTTTGCAGGCGTCCAGTCCTGTCCTGTGGAATCCACAGGGCTACTGGATTTGACCCAGTGCTCTATCAAAGATAGATCCACGTCGATTTGAAGGGGCTGCTCGCTTGTGAGAGCTATCAGGCCATGGTAGAGCTGTCTCTTTGATTTCGATTGGAAAACAGGTGGCCGGCTGTGCTACAAGTTTCTTCCATTGGGAGCTGCAAGAATGACTTGGACGCATTTGGACGCCTTCTTTTTGGTCTGTCTTTCGGAATCCAGCGTTACTGCAGTATGGCTCGATGTAGTTGCAGGTAGTAGTCAGTAGGCAGTTATTTTTGGCACTTTCGATGCAAGGCAGCTGCGAATTGGCTAATTCAAGCTTTCTCGCAGCTTGTCTCTGTGCCTCCACTTTGAAACGTGGAATGAAATCTGAAGAGACTGAGGAACAATGAAGAGTGTTTTATTTGATTTTTGGACGTGCAATGACTTGCACATACGATTGCCACCTTGACAGATAGTGAGGGTGTTGGACATGGCTCCGAAGGTCAAGATCCAGAAGCTCAGAATGCAGTCTCCATCCTTCAGGTGCGGAGTGCGGAGTGCCCCAGGCTGTGAGTGGTGTGAGTGGTGTGAATGATGTGAGTGGCCCAAAGGGCCTACAAAGATGGTTGGATAATCTTGGCTGCAAGTGCATCGCCATCAAGAGCTTTCCCAGTCGCCAGGAGTACATTCAAAGTTGCTCTGACTTCCCACCACATTCTCGAATTCTGATGCATCACACTCAGTTCTTCAAGAACATTTCTGAATTTTAAAGGCAAATGAGCGGTATGAAGCATGTTTCTGACAGAGATGGATTTTGTTCACCAAGTATACAACCAAATGCGACTTTGATGTGTCGAGGTGGAACTTCGAGAAGCGTTTACAAGAAGATTCGTTGTTGCAGCTCGCATCCTAACACACTGTACCAACTGTACCAGCTTTTAATGTATCAAACATAAGCACTACACATTACCCTCAGATGGATTATATTCTGATCAATGACCCATGGAATAATGCCATAAGTGATACAAGTAGTACTAGCTTCCGCCGGGGGCGGAAGTTTCAAATTTGAAACGCTTATAGCCTATAGAGCGGAGCAAAGGCTGTGCCTATAGGTGACAGGTAAGCCTCCTGCGCTTCGCAGCAACAAGCTCTTGACTTGTCAATCTGATGCCATGTCTTTTGAATGTTGAGTCTTTTCTCATTTCATCTGATCTCATCGCATCGCAGCTTCTCTTGGAAATTGTTCATTGCATCCCATTGTCACCGCAGTCTGCGTCATCCCATCTCGTCTCAACTCATCTCATGTCTTCTCCGCTTTTTTCACCTAATCTCATCCCATCTCTCTCCCATTCTAGGCTCTTCTCAGCTGATCACAACTGTTCTCTTCTCTTCTCATGCCACCTGAGCTTTTCTCATCTCTTCTCATCTCCTCGCAGCTTATCTCAGCTTTCCTCAAAATTTCACAGCTCTTCTCAACTCTTCTCAACTCTTCTCACCTCTCCGCAGCTCATGTTAGGTCATCTTTTGTCTTTTCATCTCCCTCTCCTGTTCTCACATCTTCTGAGCTCTTCTGACATCCCCTAAGCTGATCTCAGCTCTTCGTCTTAGCTCTTCCTTAGCGCGCTCTCAAACCATCTCAGCTCTTCTCTGGCCCAAAACCTGCTCCAAAAATGGATCTCGGCGCCACAGCAAGCGACCCGTACCCTTTCCACAGAGAAGATTTGACACAGAGAAGCTTTTACACACAGCAAGCTTTTGGACAGAGAAGCTTGTACACACAGAAGCTTTTACACAGGGACAGGGAAGCCTTTACACAGAGACAGGGAAGCTTTTACACAGAAGCTTTTGCACACAGAAGATGTTGCGCAGAGAAGCTTGTACACAGAGCTAGCCTTCACACAGAGAAGCTTTTACACACAGAAGCTTTTGCACACAGAAGCCTCTGCACACAGCAAGCTTTACACAGAGAAGCTTTTTCACACAGAAGCCTTTACACTTTACACACAGAAAGCTTTTACACAGAAGCTTTTGCACACTGCAACCTTTTGCAGAGATAAGCTTTTACACACAGAGGCTTTTACACAGAGAAGCCTTTACAGAGAGAAGCTTTCACACACAGAAGCTTTTACACAGAGAAGCTTTTACACAGAGAAGCTTTCACACACACACACACAGAAGCTTTTACACAGAGAAGCTTTTACACAGAAGCTTTTACACACAGCACGCTTTTACACACAGAACCTTTTACACACAGAAGGTTTTGCACACAGGCACACAGCTAGCCTTCACACAGGGAGGCTTTTACACACAGACGCTTTTACAAAGAGAAACTTTTACACACAGAAGCTTTTACACACAGAAGCCTTTACACAGAGAAGCTTTTGCACACAGAGATTTTACACACAGCAAGCTTTTACGCAAACAACACAGAGCAAGTGTGCTTTTACACAGAGAAGCCTTCACGCAAACTAAACACCCAGTTGCATTCACAACAAGCTTTTACACAGAGCAAGCTTTTACACACAGCAAGCTCTTACACACAGCACGCTTTTACACACAGAAGCTTTTGCACACAGCAAGCTTTTACATAGAGAAGCTTTTACACAGAGAAGCTTTCACACACACACAGAAGCTTTTACACAGAGAAGTCTTTACACAGCGAAGATTTTAGACACAGAAGCTTTTACACAGAGAAGCTTTTACACAGAGAAGCTTTTACACACAGAAGGTTTTACACAGAGAAGTCTTTACACACCGAAGGTTTTAGACACAGAAGCTTTTAGACACAGAAGCTTTTACACAGAGAAGCTTTTACACAGAGAAGCTTTTACACACAGAAGCTTTTACACACAGAAGCTTTTACACACAGAAGCTTTTACATAGAGAAGCCTTTACACAGAGAAGCTTTTACACACAGCAAGCTTTTACAGAGAGAAGCTTTTACAGAGAGAAGTCTTGACGGAGAGAAGCTTTTACACAGAGAAGCTTTTACGCACAGAAGCTTTTACACAGCAAGCTTTTACACAGAGAAGCTTTTACACAGAAGAGTTTTTACACGCAGAAGCTTTTACACACAGAAGCCTTTACTTTACACACAGCAAGCATTTACACAAAGAATCTTTTACACAAAGAAGCCTTTACACAGAGAAGCTTTTACACACAAAAACCTTTACACAGAGAAGCTTTTACACACGCACACACACACAAGCCTTTCGCACAACGGCGCGAGAAATTGCAGCTCGAGAAAGCCGGATGTTGGCGCCAAAGCAAAAAAAAGACGATTTTGAAGCACTTTTCGAAAGTAATTTTAAAAGGAAGATTTCCAGCGCCCAAATTGAGAAAATTTGCTGGCAAATCGCTATCACAGCCTTGATGCAGCCATTTCAATACGATTTCCGATGTCCAGCTGCAACAGACAATGGTATTACGCACGCAGCCGCGGCGCCAAGAAACCTTGACGCAGCCAGTACAGTGCGATCTGGAGAGACCGAGTTGCAAACCGCAATAGAACTACGCGCAACGGCGTCAGAAATTGCAGCTCTAAAGCCGGATCTCGACGCAAATCACCTGCGCCAAAATGGCGAAAATCTGCTGACAAATCACTATCGCAGCCTTGGTGCAGCCACTCCAATACGATTTCCGATGTCCAGCTGCAAAAAGACAATAGTATTACGCATGCAGCCGCGGCACCAAGCAATCTTGATGCAACCAGTACAATGCGTTCAGGAACATCACGTGGCTATATAACCCGCATGTCTCTACACACATGGCAACAAAACATGATAACATTCATCCAAGGCGATCTGCAATGAAGGATTCCACAGCCGCCTAGAACTACGCACGCACGAAGACACGCAAAGTGCAGAACACCAAGGGAGAACCAAAAAAACATCAAAACGCGCATGCCCACAACCGCCTCACACACACGAGCATCTTTCAAAAACTGAAAGCTGAAGATGTGAAACCGAAGCTTTCGTGCGAGACTTCCCTGAAAAAGTGAAAGTGGAAGATGTGAAAGTGAAGCTTTCGTGCGAGACTTCCCTCAAAATCTGAAAGTGGCAGATGAAGCTTTCGTGCGAGACTTCCGTCAAAATCTGACAGTCGAAGATGTGAAAACGAAGCTTTCGTGCGAGACTTCCCTTAAAAACTGAAAACGGAAGATGTGAAAACGAAGCTTTCGTGCGAGACTTTTCCGTCAAATCACGAAAGCTAGCTAGCTGTGCTAGCTGAAGTTGCGCTTGCTTTAGCAAGGAATAGGCAGGGAGCAGGACTATTGCAAACCCTGAAACTTTCTAGTTAGACTCCCCCCCTTCCCCCCCTGGCAGGCCTAGGTTCGATCCAGAGGGTCATCATCCTCATTTTCATCTTCATCCTCACCCTCCTCAGCCTCATCCTCATCATCCACATCATCATCATCATCATCATCATCATCATCATCATTGAATCATCATCATGGAATCATCATCATTGAATCATCATCATTGAATCATCATTGAATCATCATCATTGAATCATCATCATTGAATCATCATCATTGAATCATCATCATTGAATCATCATCATCATCATCATCCTCCTCCTCTTCGTCCTCCTCGTCGTTGATCAGCATCCTCATCCCCGGGTCCTGCTGGGCCATTGGTTTCCTGCATGTATAGGGTCGTCCTCTTCAGTTTTTCCTCTTCAGGACGTCATGTTCAGTAAACCAACCAACAACTCTATAAAATCATCATCGGAAACTTGCCGGCTTCCAAATGATCATAATTATCTTCCTCCTCCTCCTCCTCCTCGTCGTCGTCATCATCATCATCATCATCAGCATCATCGTCATCATCATCATCATCATCATCCTCATCCTCATCCTCATCCTCGTCCTCCATCCTTCATCCCCATCCCCATCCTCCTCATCATCATCGTCCTCCTCCTCCTCCTCCTCATCATCACAATCCCCATCATTCGCAACATCCACATCATCATCATCATCATCATCATCATCATCATCATCATCATCCGCATCATCATCATCATCATCATCATCATCATCATCATCATCATCATCATCATCATCATCATCCGCATCATCATTATCATCAACAACAGCAGCATCATCCTCATCATCATCCCTATCATCATGATACATATGTTGCTTTGTCCCGAACATCTTTATGCAGATTCGGGCTTCTATTTGGGGGGTGTTTTTTATTTTGATATTGCGTTTCTTTTGCTTACAACACTTGGTGAGAGACGATTACTGCATTGGGGGGTTTTCGCTTGCTGGACTCAGTAGATTTTGCAACCCTACAACAGCCTGTTGCCGCATTCTGACTTCACCTTGCTAATCACCCTTTACGATTACCACCCTACCCCAGCCCTGCTAGCTTTCGTACCTCCCCTGGCTTCAAGTTTTGAGAGTTCAAGTGTTGCAAAACAACGCCTGAAACAGCAGTGCCACTGCGCGGCCGATCCGCCCATGATCCCGGTTTAAACGAGCGTGTTTCGCAACCGTCCGCCGGACAAGCCTCCCCAGCCATCTAGCGGGAAACGTGTTGTCTTGCAAAACACAGCATTTCGTGCATCCGCTGAGGCTATCTGTCAAAAACGCATTGCGTGCAAGACTTCCTTCAAAAAAGTGAAAGTGGAAGATGTGAAAGCGAAGCTTTCGTGCGAGACTTCCCTCAAAATCTGAGTTGAAGATGCTTTCGTGCCAGACTTCCGTCAAAAAGTGAAAGTGGAAGATGTGAATACGCAGCTTTCGTGCCAGACTTCCCTCAAAAAGCGAAAGTGGAAGATGTGAAAGCGGAGCTTTCGTGCGAGACTTCCCTCAAAATCTGAAAGTGGAAGATGTGGAAACGAGGCTTTCGTGCCAGACCTCCTTCAAAATCTGAAAGTTGAAGATGTGAAAA